AATTCCTCCCACTATGATATAATATTGCCCACTCTGAGCAATTAAAGTTTCCACTTGAGGAAGACTTAATCACAGAAGTCTTTCTTTTCCTCATCCCAGCTTCATATTGTCAGTATTATACTAAAATCTGTACAGACAAAAAAACCCTATACCTTGCCTGTCTGTACTCTGCTGAAAACCTGATCATCTTCTTGTTTCCTTGCCTCGACACACTTACTCTCTCAAGCTGCAGTCTTCCTCTGCCACCTACCTCCCTCTGTCTGAAGTATTATCTACAAAAGTGGAAAGAAAGATGCTTCTAAATTTAAAACATTTGTGGGAATGAAAGCCTTCATATAAAACAACCATTTTTTTTTCCAAAAAAAATATGCAAAGGTATGACTGGGCAATCAAGATCACTGCAACTTGACATTGCAGAGAATTTATATCATAATTACATCGAGTTTAGTGCCTGTATTAATAAGGTTGGTGCTTAAGAAACTTCAACAGAGAGTAGACACAGTCTGTTTCTACTTTTGCATCATAACAATAAAAAAAGTAAAATAAAACATAAAAAGAACCCTATTTTGTGCATGGTGGTGATTGTTAAGAAACATTTTCTCTGAAATTACCTTTCTGCCCTGAGCACAGAGAAAATACGTATTGTATATATTGTATACAAATAAAAACAATATCTGTAGAGTATCTCTGTGAATGCATCTCAGAAAAAGCCAGGTTCACCTTCTGGTGGCTCAGTGCTGAGTGGGGGAAAGAGGTGCATAGTCATGCAGCTCAGATCTGAGTGTGTTGCAATACCTGCATCAGAAAAGCTGCTACCTCTGCCTCTGTTGGCAAAACTGAGACTGTTCCTATGCCAATGCTGGAAAAAAACTTCCATGAGCTTTCATATTGCAAAATCAAGCCCTAAATTCAATGCATTCAGTGTGTTCTCACACATGCGAACATGTGTGAATATATTCCCTCATGACAGCTCTAGATGTCTCCTCCAGCCCTGCATAATGATCTCTTCATCTGCCGCAATCAGTAGAGGAGAGACAGGTGATGCCTCTGGCCCATCAGGGTTGAGCAGGACGGGTGAGTGACACACGCCAGATGCTGCACCCTGAGCTGGGCAGCAACTCCCCTGTAAATACATCATGGAGTAAAAATCACCACGTACATTCCAGCTGCTGCAGAGCATGTCACTGGAGTAGACATGCGGTCACGTGTACAAATGCACACCAAATAGTATCTGTACGTGTGATTAATTAGCAGCTAACAGTGAATTCTTTGAGCCACGGGGGGAAAAAAAAGGAAAAGAGAAAAAGAAAATCACACCCCTAAAAGAAAGATTAAAACTAACTCTACAAGGTCACTAAGGCTGAAAAACTGTGTTCTTCAGGACAGTGAAGGAGACAATGAAGTTAGTGATATGTGTCCCCCAAATTTTACTTTATTTTTTACTATGTTTTTAATATTGGTTTTTATCGTTAATGTCAGTTAATTCAGTGCCCATGGAAACTACCAAGCCAGCAGCTCTTGAGCCTAGAGTCTTCTGTATCAATACAGACCCAGAGGTGTACCTCAAAAACATCCCTGAGAACACCATGGTAACAGTTGCCAAGCCCCCCAAGAAACAAAAAGCTTTTAGGGATATGGAGCACAAAGACTGACAAAATAAGAAAGAGGAACAGCATTATCTCTTAATTCATTTAGCCAAATTTGACCCGTGTAAACCCATAAGTGTTGCATTCGACTGAAAGTTAACTATGTGTTGAATCCTACAGGCAGTTTGAAACATTGGAGAGTAAAGTAGAGAGCAGGAATAGGAAGACTATTAAAACCGATTTTATCATCTCGTAGAGGAGGTACCGCACAATACAAGTGATGCACACAGGAAATGGAAAAAAATTGCAAGAAATGAGTCAACAAAAAATCTTTAGTATTTAGGAATATGAATACTGCCCATATGAGTATAATATGAGAACACAGTATAGGGACAGTCATATTAGTTAGTTTGTGAACTAATTAATGCAAGATGTTCATCAGTAATTTGAAAGTTGATATAATATCACAGTAACAAATTTAGCAGGTAGCAGAGTAGCGTGAAGACTGGTGAGTAAAGTGGGAAATGGGACATTCAGAAGTACCTGAGCCCGTTGCTAGCTCTCTTGGCATTCTCAAGAAGAAACAGCACATAAATGGAGCTGTTTGAAGAGTTGCACTTCTAGGACCAAGAAAGTCAGGTGATGGAAAATGTTCTGTAAAGTATGACTCTACAAGGTGTCATGAGCAGATGCCATAAGCTCACATGAGACCGCTACAGCTTTCAGCCTAGTTACTTGCAGTCTCAGTCAGCTATGTAAGAATTAGAAGAAATGCCAGAAACTTCCCAGTACCATCAGTTCCGTATCACCAAGTAGTCCATGTTTTTTGCATACTTTTAGAAGGAAAACTGAAAATACTCTGGTGATCACAGTGGGAGAGCACATCAGCATGACAGATCTTTAAAACCGTGCTGTGGCAAAAAAAACCACAACAGCTATAAGCATCAGCTGCTAAGAAGGTATTTTACTTTGTGTGTGCCTTCAGCAAGAGAAATGCTAGATAATATCAAGTTCTTGTGCCAATATTTTTAAAACAATGTTGAAAAATTACATAGGTTGCAAATGAAAAAAGTACACAAACTATGTGAAGAATTGCTGTAGAAAGTTAAGGAACTTCATCTATTTTGGCAGGGAAAAAATTATATTATTATATGGAATAAAATAAGTTTCATAACAGAAAATATTACATATGAAAGGAGTGTTTAGATAAGTGAAGTAAGGCATTATTTGAACCAGCAGCTTGAAGCTGAAGCCAGCCCAACTCAAGCTAGAAGTGAGAAACACTGAAGCCTGCTAAGCAGACTGGCAAATGGCTGCAGCAAGGAAGTGGGATCGTCCATCCATCTCGTAATATCTTCTAATTGAGAAAGCATGCCTTTCTGGAAACAGTAAAAGTCTCCTTGAGCTTCTAAAATAGCATGTTATGAACAGCAAGAATTATATATGTGGTAAGACTGAAAAAACAGAAAGGTCCATTCTGGATGTTGATGTTAAATACTTAATCTTTTCATTGAATGTGATGTTTGATGCTCAAACGTTTGCATACTGGGGGCTGGCAGACTAGCACTGGATGTAGGATTTCCAGGGAAGGTGAACAACAAATGTGGTCAGTCTTATCACGTTTCCATGACTTTTTTGTTCTAGTCTTTCTGAATGTTGATGTTTTGTTTGATGATCTGTTTGCTTGTCAGGTGAGCCATTCACAGTAATACACAATTCTTCTTTTGTGAAAAGTTCCAGATTAGTTAGATGATAACACTGACTTGCTTTATAGAAATGTTTTCTGAGGCAAGTTGTAATTTTCTACATCTTGCTGTTTATCAGAGCCCATCATTCTGTATTCCTAAAAACAAGATTTTCTTTTCATATTACTGCTATGAAACATTTACCAGTGTATGGCCATAGGAGTAGGCCCAAGACAGTGTTTTAATGGTACACAGCCAGTTCTCAACCCATGTCCTTCCTAAAGCTGTGCTTTCTTTTATTGCTGTCATAATTTTCTCTCTGAAGTAACTCAGCTGTTTCTTTCCAAGGCTTTGTAGTTTTTTATGTCACTCAATCCACCTAAAATTCTGTAGTTAGGACCAAGGAAAACTATTTTTATATAATTGCAAATATGCAGTGAGATCATTAGTGAATATAGTTTCTGACCCTTGGTTTCCAGGATAATTTCCTATACTAGGACTGATTTCACAGGGTGCACAGAGGAGGCAAAACAATGTCAGCACTTTCACATGAATGTCTGTATTGCTCTGCATTAAGACACTAAAGTTTACTCGTGTCTTACACTGGACAGTTTTACTGTCAAATAACTGTCTATAAAAGAAACAGGATTCATACCAAGCCACATTAGCCCTGATTCCTCTAACACATACTTGAATGTGAGGTAAAATCCCTAAATTCAGCCCTCAATGAGAAATTCTCCAGGGAGCACAAGCTAGACCATCTGCCTCAATGCAGCACCCGGTCTCACATGTTGCTGTTACTCTCTGGGTTTTTCTAGACAAGAAGTAAATGTTCAGCCTTGGCAATTGTCAGGTCCTACCTTTGCTATTACATAGAGTCGTTGGTGAAGGGTTTGTACAAGGCGTGCTGTGTCTTTGGGGTATGTGTCCATTGGACTCAGTCTCTGAGAAATGGGCTGGTTTTGGTACCTCGCCCAGCATACTGCTACCTTTAAAATAGGCACAGATCTGTGTGGGCTGGGAAAGCTCCCTACCTCTCACAAGCAGGGACGCAGAGGAGAAGTGAGATCTCATTGTCCCAGGTAAGATGTGTTAGTCTCTCACTGTGAGGAGTGGAGGGGTGTTCTTTAGCTGACTGCCTTAATTTGGACACCAGCCACAGAGTGAGTTCTTCCCTGTGTCGTGACTATTTGCTTACTACTCAGGAGAAATAAAATTATAGAGTATAAGATACATTTCTTATTTTAAGGCCTAATACCTACAGGTCTTCAACTTGTTTTCTTCTTCTTGGCCACCAACAAAAAATTTGCTGATGGGGGAAAGAGTGGTGCTGAGGCAGAACCCTCAGCCACGGCATTCCAGGCTGCATTGCAATATGAAAAATGAATTTACCAAACTAAAAGAGGGAGAAAAAAGTTTGTTTAAATATGAATTTCAAATCTTGCACATGATGCAGAAAATATTGAAACATGCTCATTGGGCACTGAAACATCATTTTGGTGAAGGGCACGCATTTAGAACAATTTCTAGCACTTGCAATATGAAAATTACATTTTGGGGAAAACATAATAGAGTCAATACTTAGTTTTAATTCTGAGGATTTTCTGCTAAAATTAGTTCAAATATTTCCAGGTCTTCAAAATTCAAAGCATTCATTCTTTTCAGATTTTTCCCCATACTTTTGTAAGCAATCAGCATTTGAAAACCAAGTAATAATCTTTCTATCATATGTTCTATATTTTTTCTGCTTTATTACAGATTCTTAAAGAAAAAAAGAAACAAGCTCGGGTCTCTTTTCACTGTAGTTGTGACCCTTACCACGAAGATGAACGTTTCAAAGAGTTGGTATTGAAATGAGAACTTAGATCTCTGTTAGAAAGTAATCTAGTTCCTATGCAACTCCGTCAAAATGAGCAGTGAAGATACATTCACCTATTTACAACTTTGCATGTCACACTCGGCAGAAAGCCGAGGAGGAAATCAAGTTTACCTTCACGATAATTTGTTCTTTTGACGTGACTTTGCCATCGGCGTTGTTTTAATTTCTGTTAATGCAAAAGCATCGCGGTTCCCAGGATTTGAAATGATTCAAAAGTGTCTGGGGAGATTCCTCCACGGGAGCAACTGGATTTTCCTCCTTGAATTCATCAGACCTCTCAACTCCTGTGACTTTGCGGTGGCATTTTCCGGCGGACGCCGGACTTGGTGGGATTTGGAGGGTGTTATCCCGATCCCTGCCTTTCCCGGAGCTCCACTTCTCCCCGGCCAGGAGCGGGGCCCGACGAGGCAGGAGGAACGACGGAGGCATCCTCCCCGGGGGGCGCGGGGCAGCACCTGGCACAGGAGGCACGTGAAAAGAAATTAAATAAATGAAATTAAATGAAACGCAGCGGGATATGGGTTGACTCGCTGTGTGAGCCCTCATCTCCCAGCGCCCCACATCTCCCCTGCACCCCGCAGCCGTCGCTCGGTCCCTGCGTGGCCGGGGAGGGCATCGCGTGCCGGAGCCCTCCCCGCGCCTCCCGCCCCACAGCTCCCGGGCAGTCCCGGCTGCGGGGGGGATCTCCCTGGCTTCCCCCCCCCTTTGCCACCCGCCAGGCACGGGGCTGAAATTCCCCCGGCGGCCGCGGAGCCCCTCCGGCCCCAGCGCATTTGCGGGAGGGAGCCACGCTGTAGAAAGGGCGGGAGGCAGGGAGAGAGGGCAGGGAGGGGGTGCCAGCTCAGCCCACTGCGGCCTCATCCCCCCTCACTCCTCCCACCAGTGCGTGGTGCCTCTTAACCCCCTGGAACCTCCCTCCCGCGAAGCATTGTCCACTTTGCAGAACACGAGTTGATGACGAAAAAAATACTTCTCGGCCGCGGCCAGCCATGAGCTGTTTGGATGTTATGTACCAAGTCTACGGTCCTCCCCAGCCCTACTTCGCAGCAGCCTACAGCCCCTATCATCAGGTAAGTGTGGGGGGCAGCGGTGAAGAGGCAGAGGGTGGGAGGGGTGTCATCTGGAGGATGGCCGTCTGGGGCCTCACCAAAAGGAAAAAGGGAAAAGGAGAAGGGGAGGGGAAAGGGGGGCGGCGGGGGGGGGAAGATCTGGGAGCCTGAGATGGTGATCGGAGTAGAATCGCATCCCACCTTGGAGCAGGGCTCCACAGGGTACGTACACCGGCGGCAACCGACGGACTACGGGATGCCTTGGGAGCTTGGGCGCGATTTTAACCCTCAGAGGCATTTTTAGGGGGTTGGTTTGTTCGTTTTCCAATATTTGTTTGTCTGTTTCCTTTGCCGGGACCGGCTCCATCCGAGCGCGGCGGCTCGGGGCAGCGATGTCCGCGGTGTGTTTAGCCCGTCGGTAGCTGCGAGGCCGGGCTACCCGTGGTACTGCTCACCCCTGCGCGCCGGCATCCCGGCCGCCGCCGCGGGAGCCACTTCGTGCAGAGATTTTAGAGCCGCCTCGGAGGGGTGCTCCGGAGTTACGCTCTGGAAGTGGAGGAGGCGACAGTGCCGGGCGGCTACAGAGTCTCCCTGGTTTGTCGATGACGGGAAAAGCCCCGGCAGCGAAAGGGGCCAGGGGTTGAGGGATGCTCCCCGCTCCCGGGGCGCGCTCGGTGGCAGGACCCTGGCCCGTCCCCCAGCCCCACGGGGCTCCCGGCGGCGCCGTCGCCTGCGAGACCTGCGGGTGCTCCGTGGGCTGGAGCCACGTCTCGCCGCCGCGCTGCATGCGGCTCCGCCCGCGCGGGCGGGGGTATCAACTCATCCCCGGTTTTCCGTAACAGGATCCTGCCGGCCGCGGGAATGTTTCGGGCAGGCACAGCCCGTCGTGCGCGGGGATCTGCTCGCTTCAGGACCCCCACCGTCCCGCGTGGGTCAGGGCTCGTTTCCCCGGGCTGCACCTGTTGCACACCTCTTTCCTTTTACCCCTCTGCGTTTCCAGCTTTTCCCTCGCCCTTACTACTTCCAGAAATTAATTCCTTTGTCCACCAGAGTAACGAAAAAGGGGCTGGATAGAAGAAGCAGCGCCCCAGGCTCGAGGCGGGTGAGACCCCCTGCCATGCAGAGTCTGGCCGGGGTCAGCGGCCCCGCTCCCTGCGGCCCCGCTCCTTGCAGCCTCCGGCGTGGGGGGACCCTGTGCCGTCTCCATTGCCCGGCAGCGGGACCCAATTCCCGTTACAAAAAGCAGATGATGTCTTCCCCCACCTTGCCTTCCCTCCAATCACCCCCTCACCCCCCCCCCCCGGCACACTGCTTATGACATTATTAAGGGGGATGATCATTACCTCAATGGCCGAACTGGGAGCCAAGTGGAAAGGCGGTCGTCGCGAAGGAGTGACATTATGATATATATCGTACGTCTTGGCCCAAGGCTTTGCCCCATCCCCTCGGTGGTTCCCTCGCCGGCCGCTCCAAAGCTCTGCCCGTATAATCCAAGCCCGGGCTCCACGTCTCAGAGCTTATTGCTAAGAAACTCCCAGCACCTGCAGGCATGCTAACGCAGATAAAGATGGGAAACATCCACCAAACTTTTCAACTCCCGCTGTTTTCCCACTCATCGAAATCCAGTAAAAACAGAACAATTTTGTAGGAAATACCTAGAGCTTCCTGCAGGCCAGGGAAATTATGTGCTTTGCTCTGAAATGTGTTTGAGTCTTTTTTTTTTTTTTCCTTTCCTTCTCCTCGCCGCTGTGAGTTACGGGACACTCTTCGCAGAAGATTTGGCGAGCCGGGGACCGAGCGGCTCTTGCCTTCCCCCCGCTGCCGTCGCTGCTCCCTGTGTGCCTGGCCGCCGTCCGACCGTGCCCGCCGCCTTTCCCCCCGCATTGCAGCCCCTTGGCGGCCGCCGTCCGCTCCGGAGCCATCTGCAAAGCGTCTTCTTATGCCGGGCTTGGTGCGGAGGACCAGGGCGTGTGATCCCCGCCTGGCCGCGCCTGCCCCGCCCGGCGGTTCTTTCTCCATCCCGGCCGGCGACTCTGGGTTTCGGGCCACCTGCCCTGTTTGCAGCCTCTTCGCTGCCTCCCAGGGGCGGTGCAGAATTGCACTTACGGAGGGCGATGTGGGGGTGTATGGGGTTGTGGTGTGTGCTGAGGGAACAGCGGGCAGCCGAGGATTAGACTTTTGCATCCTCTCGGAAAGATCACGGGAGAGGCCTCAGCGCTGCATGCCGGCTGGCACAGTGGGGAGCAGCGCACCTTGATGCGCTGCGTGACCGGCTCTGTTTTCTTTCCTTCCTCGTAGAAACTCGCCTTTTACTCCAAAATGCAAGAAGCCCCGGAGAGCGGCAGCAGCGCCAGCGCCAGCAGCTCCTTCTCCAGCCACCCCGCGGCCAGCATCAAGGAGGAGGACTGCAGCCCCGAGAAGGAGCGACCCCCCGAGGCCGAGTACATCAGCTCCCGTTGTGTCCTCTTCACCTACTTCCAGGGGGACATCAGCGCCGTGGTGGACGAGCACTTCAGCCGGGCGCTCAGCCAACCCAGCAGCTTCTCCCTCGGCAGCTCGAAGGCGACTCGGAACGCCGGCTCCTGGCGGGGTGAGCACCCAGCGCGGCGGGGGGAGCGCGGGGGGCGGCGGGGTCCCCCTCCGGGCAGGCACCTCGGACCTCGACATCCCGTCTCCCTCCTTCCTCCCCTCGGCGGCTGGTGCTCGGCGGGCAGCCCCTGGCAGCCAATGTCCCGGGCCGAGAGCTGTCAGCTTCTTGGCTCTTTTAAGGGAAAAAAAAAGAATAAAGCCCTTCAGTTCATGCCGGACCTCAGTGGGCCGGGGGAAGCAGCCTGGGAGGTGGAATGGGGAAATGAACTTTCTTTACCCTGCAGGTGCTTTACCTGGAAGGGGCTAGAGCCAAAACAGTTATGAAGTGACCCCTGCACTGTGACTGTGCAGGGGATGCCCTGTTGACGCTAGCTTTCAGTTCAGTGTGGTCATAATGATGGGAACAAAGCAAAAAGCAAATGTGGGAACCATCTCATCAGCTTCCCACCTCTGAAAAACTAATTGTGTTTGTCCCCATATTTTGCCCTGCATGTATCACCACCCTGATTGCTGCTGGAGGAAGGTCCCTAAATTTCTGAAAATGAAGGCTTCTAGACCTACTTATGGCTGTGGCCATATGCCTTTAAGGTTAAGGCCAGGGCTTATGCACAGCTGATTCACTCTGGACAGGCCTAGAGGTACCCAGGGCAGAAAGGAATAACCTTCCCCATCCTCTCTCCACCAGAGAGTTAGGGCTGGCACTTCTTTGTGGGCAATTTTGGTAACTCTCCCTCACAGGGCCACCTGCTCAGCCAAGGCTGGTTTCCCAGCCTCTGTATGAATTGCTGTCAGTAATGTCTAAGAATGAAATAGTTTAAATAATTCCCGTGTGAAAGATATTCAACTGATGGCAGGAAAGGAGTGTTTTTGCTCATTATGAACCTCTTCCCCCTCTACTGAGTAATGCCAGGGCTCAGAGCTGACATACTTCCTGGTAAATGTGTATCAGGAGCATGGTTTTATTTATTTCTTTTGTGAACTGTGTGCATTCTCAATTAATCATGCACAACATCTACCGATACTGTTAATAATCACCAGTCCATCTTGCGTGTTGCTTACCGGGCTAAGAAAATGTAGGGTCCTTGTCCTTTACCCTGCCTCCCCAATATCTCCAAAGGTCTACAGAGTGCTTCCCAAACGTGTTGACTGTATACCTAAGAAACAGGCATAAGTCTGGTGTAATAGGTGGACAATTGCCCCCAGAAAATTAAGGAAATTCAAGCTGGCCTTTAGTCAACTCTCACTGTTCCTGACCACTTTGAAACTGCACTGAGGCAGCAGCTGCTTTCCTGGAGGTGTTGGACATAAACGTTTATACAAGGAGATTATTACAAAAACAAAGGAGAAAAGTCCAACCCTGGAAATTTCAGTGGCGTATAATAGCTCTCACTCAGTTTCCACTATGTAAGAAATGTTTCCCTCACCTTAGATAACAGCCTTTTGCCCACCTACATACTAAGAGAAACCTGGAGCAAATAGTTGCAGCTTCAGGGATAAGCCATAGCCTAGATGTGTTGGATGTTTAGCTGGAGAGGAATCTGTGTTTGTTTGCAGCAAGTTCTTGTGTTTGGTAGCTTTTCAGAGAATAAAGGGAATGCGAGGTTTGGTTTAGTTGGATCAGGGAGGGACAGAGGCCTAGGGAAAGGTGATCAAGGCTTACTGGGTGTGCTCATTGCTGACTTTCTCTTCCACTTCCTTCACCCAGATGGCTCCTTCCCAATGAGCCAGCGCATCTTCCCGCCGTCCTTCTGGAACAGCACGTACCAGCCCTCCTCAGTCCCAGCCAGCCTGAGCAGCCCCCTGGCAGCTGCTGCCCACAGCGAGCTGCCCTTCGCCGCCACCACCGACCCCTACGCACCCGCCTCCCTGCATGGCCACCTGCACCAGGGTGGCCCTGAGCCCTGGCACCATGCCCACCACCACCATCACCACCACCACCACCCCTACATTGGGACACAGAGCACTGCCTACCCTCGCCCCGCCACCATGCACGAGGTCTACGGGCCCCACTTTGACCCCCGCTACGGCTCCCTTCTGGTGCCCACTGCCTCCGTCCGCCCCCACCGCCTCACCCCCGCCTCCGTGTCCACTCCAGTCAGTCCCCCCTGTGAACTGGGCAAGAGCGAAGCGGGCGCTGCTGCAGCCTGGACGACACCGGGCCCTTTCCCCAATGCAGCAGGAGACATGGCACAGAGCATCAGCCTCAATGTTGACACAGGTAATAAGCTGCCCTTGGTGCCTACAAGTTCCCTGAGTCAGCTGCACCCCTGCTCCCTGACTCCACACCATCCATAGTAGTAGGGAAGGACCACCCTGGGGAGTGGCTGGGATGCTGCTGTGAGAGAATAAATTGGGGGTGAAGGCCCCATATGCAACACCTGAGCTCTGTCCTGAGTGCTCTTCTTGGGGTTCTCAGGCCAGACAAGAGAGGATGGGGAGAGGGAGGATGGGATAGGCCAACACATCACATCCCCAAAACATCATTTGAATTTCCGATGCCTGCAAACATGCCCTGAGGGTACAGGCTGCTTTGAGGTACTCTTGTCTGGGCCCTGGTCCTGCTTCTACATTGAGCAGCAAGAGCTGGGAGCAGGACGAAGCAACCCTAAAGGTCACTGCTTGGCCCTCCCCACATGCTGCACTGAGGGCAGTAGTGTGGGCAGCCACAGCAGAGCAGATAATTTTTAGACCCCATGCAGGTTCATGAACTATCTCCTCTCCTTATTTACTTTTTCCCTCAAGTGTTTGAAATGAAAGCCCAGTTGCATTTGCTGAGCAAAAAGGGCAATGGCATTCCCCCAGTAGTGCCTGGTGGGGTGTCTGGAACCAAGGCTGTGTGACTGTAGCAGTGATAAAATCAGGGATGCAGGCAATTAGCAGTGGCAGATCCTGAATCAGTGGTTGTGAAGGCAAGGAAAGCTTGCTCCATGCTGGTTTTGTTATCACAGTCCCTAATGGATCCTTTCGGTGTCCTCATTTACAGCAGGAGGGACGTGTGCCAGGCTCCAGTCTGGCTTGGGCTCTTCTCCTTGCTTCATAGCCTTCTGGGGCTCTAGAGACCCCATGCTTTAGACTGATCTCAGCTGGCAGAAATGCACTTTGTTTTCCTTTGTCCTTAAACGCCTGTACCTATTTTTCTTCTTCCCTTTTTTTTTTCTTCTTTCCATTCTCAGGTTTGCAGACTCAGGATAAAAGCAAGGATCTGTACTGGTTTTAGAGCTGTCCTTCACTCTTCTTCCCCTGGCTATCCCCTGTAGCTCTCTGCCTGTTAGGCATGGTGGCATTCAGAGCTGAAATCGGGTCAGTTTGTAACAGCTTCTGATCTTGGTTTGCAGCTCGCCGTTACTCCTTCTGTGGTGGATCCCTTCTGAGCTGATGTGCTGACTCAAAGACTCTCAGATTCCCCCCTGCCCTTTTCCAAGCCCACCGTGGCCCCGCAGTTCTGGTAAAGACAACGGGATTTAAAAGGACCTGGCATTGCAAGGGCGATATTTTAGATTTGTTTCAGAAAGGAAAATCCTTCTGATGCAAGAGGAGAGCCAAAGACATTGAACTTCCATTTAAGCAGACCCCACACCGAGACCTGAATTCAGACTACTCTGAAAGAGTCAAATGACATCATGGATGGTGATGCAAAAGGACTGGCCTTCATACAAGGAACAGAGAAAATTGTGGGGGTTCTTTTTTAGTGGTGTGAATATTTTTTTATGGCAGCGAAAGTTATTTCTTGAATGCAAACATGGGAAAGCTACTTAGCAGCTTTGAACTGGATTTTTACTTTCCTTTATAGAAAAGTAAAAGGAGAAGAAACTGGAATTCACAAACATTTTCAGACTGTCAAGGAACTGGTCAGATTTTTCAGCTTTGTGGTTGTGAGTGGCAAGTGTCTGGCTGGGGCCACCTGCCCTGGGCTCATAGATATGCAGCTGTTCCGCTCACAACTGATGAAAACCAAGGTGGCACTTCTTAGAGTTTGGCACAACATTTGCATTGGATGTATAACAGTTGTTTGGTTGGGGGAGAGGGGTGGTGTTTGGTTTTTTTGTTTGGTTTTTTTTTGTGTTCTGTTTTTGTTTTTTTTTTACAATAAACATTTTCTGGTGAAAGTAAAACCCCCTTAAAGCAGGGGGAGAATGGAGTCTGGAGAAGAACGGCTCATCTTCAATCCAACAACCTTTAAAGGGAATACCAGAATGAAAAGCATGTGATGGACAATAGGTCCAAGTTGCTTCTAACACTTCTCTTTGTCCACTTGTTGCTGTCATTTTGTCACTTTATTAGTTGTTTTGTTTTTTTAAAAGAGGGAATAAGGTAGCTATTTAACAGTAGGAAAGCTATATTAAAGGTATCTCCTTCTTTCACCCTGTGTACTTTTATGCAGAATTAAGCTAAATAAGAGAAATGAGTCAAACTGGAAACTTCAGGATGAAAAAGAAAAAGGATCTCTCACATGGATGAAGTGAGTTATTTTATTATTTTGTGTTAAAGATAAATAGAAATCCTAACAGTTGAAAATATTTTCTTAGTGAGTAAAATATACAGCGATAAATACAAAACACAAAAAATGCGAGACTTTTGCAGTGCTACATTTTAGTGTGTGGTGTATCTGTAAGATCTGTAAGGGGCTCTCCATAGTAGCAGATATTTTTCCATGAAGCTGCTAGAAGAGGGGACTATAGCATTTAGCGTTGCTATTCCACTGGTAAATTAAAATGTTATTATCGAGTGATGAATAATTAATGAAACAGGGCAGAAATAGAGATTACTCTATGCTTAAAAGCTGACTTTTTTACAGGCAAAACATCTGATTTGAACACTACTGTGTTGTGTTTTTTCTGTTTTTTTTTCTCAATGTAATGTCTTCGGAGGCTGACAAAGTACAAAGCATAAATGAGGAGAGTCCTAACACTACCCCTCTGACACTAGGAAAAGCAGTAAAAAATGGACTTTTATGCTGTGATGAGAGTTTTTGCCTTCCAACACTCTCACATAAGCTGACATAATGTTCACTATGTGTCAGAAGTGGAGTTATAAATAACCCAAATTTGCCTCTTCTAGGTCTCAGCTTGAGGATAACTCAATTTCTGGAAAAGATTAGGAAGCCTAATAGAAAGAGTATGATTAAGCAGTGTGAGTACATACTGTGAGAAGCTGACAAGGAAGAATGTGTGCAGAGCATCCCTGGCCAGTGCTCAGCAAATAGCAGGAGGGGACTTGCTGTGATTTCCTCAGCCAGACGTACCCCTGAGCATTTTGTTCTCACCTTCCAAATAGCCAGAGTCCAGAAAAGCTGCAAAGGGTAAGGGAAGGACCCCAGAAATTATATTACTGGTTAAAGCAAAAATATTCTGAAGTGTTCAAGGAAGAAAGCATCAGGACTTTGCAGGAGAAAAGTAACTAAAAATGGTGTTTAACTTTATTGCTGCAGAGACTTGAAGTTAACAGGATCATTCTATGAGCATGTGACTGAGTGTTTTTTCAGGCTGTTTTTAAAGGTTTTTTTTTACAAAAAGATAAATCTGACTCTATCACTGGTTGTGCTTCACCACAATTGTTTCTTTTTTCTTTCCTTTCCCCCGTCTCTCCTCTGCAATTCTAAATGAGGAGGGCTGAGCAATGCAGCCCAATACATTTGGCAATACTCGTGTAAGCATAAACCAGTCATTTACTACATTGGTATTTACAATACATTTTGACCCTGACCATATTCAAGCATGAAAATTTGTGCAATGAATACATTAATATCGGGTTTGACATTTGTTCTGTGGGTATTCTTTTTTACTATTGTAGCATGAAAGCACCCAAACACCAAAGCCAAGATCATGCCTCAAGGCGTTAGGTGTGCAAACAACTTTTTAAAAATGCTCCTACTCTGGATGGACTGCAGTCTGAAAGCACACATGTCCTGTTTTGGCTAATCCTTGCAGTTTTGCTCATTCTGACTCCTGGAGGACTGCTCACAGCACCTACCTTTAAGGTTTGGACATGAGTCTGCAGGGCTGGAACCACAGCTCCTAATGCAGTAACAATGCAAATGACTTCTGTGCCATTTTGGAAGTCTGTTTTATTCCTCTTTGCATCATAGATTGTTACTTCCTTAATCAGGAATGCTTGCAGCAAATCTGGAAATACAAAAGAAACCCTTCTTATACATTACGTGTGTATTACACGTCACATGCTTGTCACACACTGAAAGAGCAGAGCTGTGAGTTCCCACCCCTGTAGCTTGAAGAGCAGATCCTCCTGCTGCCCTTTCTGAGTGTCATGCAGAGGTTAGCACCTGCTTGTGCTCCGTAGCTGCCCACCTGACAAACAGACTAGACCTTCTGGGACAGACGGACACAGATACCAACCTGTTCATGCAGAATCCAGGGAAGGAGGCAGAGGGACAGGAACTGCTGCAGAGTATGGCAGTGCTGGGCATGACGAGAGTGTCTGCTGCTGCCCAGTTGCAAGAGTATCCTCTCTACAAGGAGTTTGCAAAACAAGCTCTGGACATAATTCACCACAGATACTTATTTCTCTTTCTGAAAATAACTGAAAATTAACAAAGCACGAAGGAATACTCTTTTAATGAACACTTTGAAGGGTTAAAAGGGATCTGTCAAGGGAAGAATGGAAGTGAGATAGGACTTTGTGTATTTGTGGTTGCACTTTATTTCAGAGGTTTTTCTTCGGTATAGCCACAGTTGCAACAATGCAGCATAAAACTCTTAAACACATATATGTGCCCCTGTACTTACAGTCTAATGTTGGAGAGTTTTAGGGTGATGTTTCTTACTTCCCATCTCCTCTTCCAGTGTTTTTACCATAGAAGCCCCCAGCAGAGGAGGAGGGGAGGAGACAGAGGGTGAAAGAGAGTCTGAATAATCCCTTGCACCTCCCCCGTGTGTTGCCCGCCTCTGGGGAAATGTATCTGCCCTGTCTCCTCCTTGGGTCAGGAGCTGCTGATCCTTCTTGCTTTCCCTTTGAAGTCCTATTTAGGTTCACGACAAGCTCTAGCTAGGGTTTAAAGGTTGGTCCCTTCTTGGAAGGGAGGAAAATGCTGCTGGTGGCTTTGAATGCATCCGTGTTCTCTAACTGGCAGTCACTGTGTGTCTTTTTCTGGGCAAGTGTTGTAATTAACGTGCCCTTTTGATTACAGAAGGATGAGCCAGCTCCCGTCGGGGATTGTGGTGTCCTGGCTGTCTTCCTGGGCCTGCCACCCAGAGGAGCAGTTGCAGCAGGGAAAGGAGAGAGACTTATGATTATTAGGAGGAGTTAGGTATTGATTTTGTAAGATAGGTAATTTTACATGGGGAATTGTGAATAGACGCACACACACAAAAAAAGAATAAAAATAAAAAAAAGAAAAAGAAAAAATGGAGACAGAAAAAAAAGAAGAAGAAGAAAAAGGACAAAGAAAAAAGAAAAAGAGAAAAAAAAGAAGAAAAGGAAAAAGAAGGAGGAGAAGAAAAAAGGCAAAGAAAAGCTAAAGCAAAGAAGAAGAAAGGAAAGGAAAGGAAAGGAAAGGAAAGGAAAGGAAAGGAAAGGAAAGGAAAGGAAAGGAAAGGAAAGGAAAGGAAAGGAAAGGAAAGGAAAAAAAAAAAAAGAAAAAAAAAAAAAAAAAAAAAGAAAAGAAAGGTTTGGGACTATAGCTTTGGTAATCAGATTCTTAATTTAGTTCCCAGCATGGTAACACTTATCTAAACTGACTGTACTGACAAGTGGCTCAGTATGGACTGTTCATGTCCCTCTCATCATAAAGGAGGAGCTACCTTTGCAGTGCACCTTCTGCTGCCTCCTTAGCCAGGCGTAATTGGTAAATAATGTGCATCAAGCCCATGAGTGCAATTTGTAGCAGAGGCATACCAGGGTGCCATCCTCCTGCCTTTACCCTCTCTGTATCAAGTCCTACGAAAGAAAGGGAAGGTGCTGGACAAGCCTGTGCAGGAGTGCAGGGGTGCCGTGCAGGGGTGCTGCGTGCAGGTGTGCATGCCCCTGGGACTGACTTTCATGCATAGGCACTTCCATTTGCCATGCTCAGCTGCAGCCCACAAAAGTACAGTCTGGCCGAGGACTGGAGTGTTTGTTTAGGTATGTGTCAGTTGCTTATTCACTGATGTTAAAGACAGGATAAACACCCGACAGGAGTGCTGTCCCATTAGGAGATGTAATACCACACTGAACATTATTGAGTGTGCTCCATCTCCCCATCTCCCTGCTGCATGGCACACTTCCTTCTGCCCCATCTGGCCCAGGTACAGATGCAAGATGCCCTCCTCCTTCATCACACTTCCTCAACTTCTTTGCTTCTTCTCTCCTTGACTTCTGGCCCCAGCCCTGACTGTGCATCTCATCCTGTCTCTGTTCTCCTGCCTCACCCACTCTCTTATGTTCTGCACTTAGTACTCTGGCCCCACACTCCAGCAACAAGGAGCAAAGAAACAGCATTAGGAGGGTCACAAACTTCCCAGTGTTATTTGCATGGAATCGGTCTTTGCATAATAAACAGAATTGGACAAACACAGACCTTTTCAGGAATAGCCAGCACATTGATCTCAATCCTGCATCATTCCTCTGTGACAGGAACCAAACCCTAACCTCTGATCCCTGATCCAGTGGAACAACCGCTTTTTCCAGAAGCTGAGTCTTAAAGAACTGCAACAGCCCCAGTTGTACACAGACACAAATGATTATTTGCTCTTGACAGACCTGCACAGCTCCCTCCTTGTATTTAACTGCAGTCCAAGAGAGCTGGATCAGGAAAGAGACACTTGATAGCTGCTGTTTCCGTGGTTGAAATATTTGTGAAGTTAGCGCATAATCTGAAAGCAGAAGCTAATAAATTATAGGGTGCTAATTGGGGCCGGAGTGGAGCTGTCAATCATATTATCCTAAACATGCAGAGACCCTCATAACCTAAAAAGGCAAGAAAGCCTCCGGGAACAGCTCCCAGTTGTCACTAGCCATGACCTCCACTTCACTGAGAGCACTGAGAGTCAAGGTAGAAAGTTTATTCAGCTAAGAAAATGCAAACCCTGTGTTTAAGAGGGCACTTGTATTTGATTTTGTTTACCCTTTTTGGTTATGTATTTCCAAGGCCACTTTATTATTTTGCTTTGCCATTTAGCTTGCCAGTCTTGCAATTTAAAAAAAACCAACATGTAGACAGAGAAGAATTTGCAATTTTTCTTCTACACAGTCCTTAGAGTAATTGTCAAAAGTTTTTATTTACAGTCCAACCTCCTTGCATATAGGCTTGTTTTTTTTAAAGCCATCTTATTGCTCACATATCATTTGTTGCTTCTCATTTCTCAGAAACATATATCCTACTTTGGAGTTGCAGGACTCTGTGATCTGAGCCAAAGCCCAACTGATCAAACATGGTGATAAAAGGATATTTGCAGCTCTAGTCACTTTGTCAACACTTTTTCTTATATTGCTTCCATCAAGATCAAATATTTTACTCATAATACAAAATTGAATAAAAAAATTCTAGAGAGGTTTTAGTAATAATTTCCCTAGAAATTCATGTCTATATATAGAGAGGTAGGCATTCCCAAAAGCATTCCTTGAAGAAAAGATCTGAATGAAGCAGATCACCTTGAGTGCCATCACATGGCACGTGCAGGACAACCAGAGGATCAGGCTCAGGCAGCATGGGTTTACAAAAGGCAGGTCCTGCTTGACAACCTGATCTCCTTCTATGGCAATATGTCCCACTTAGTGGACAAGGGAAAGGCAGTAGCTGTTGTCTACCTGGACTTTAGTAAAGCCTTTGACACAGTTTTCCACAGCATTATCCTGGACAAACTGGCTTCTCACAGCTTGGATGGGTGCATTGTTCACTAGGTAAAAAACTGGCTGGGTGGCTGGAACCACAGTGTGGCAGTGAATGGTGCCACATCAAACTGGCAGCCAGTCACCAGTCATGTTCCCCAGGCTTCAGCCTGGAGCCAGCCCTGTTTAACACCTTTATCAATGATGTGGATGAGAGGATCAAGATCTTCCTCAGTCAGTTTGCAGACAACACCAAGTCGGGTGGGAGAGCTGATCTGCTGGAAGGCAGGAAGGCTCTGCAGAAAGATCCAGAAAGGCTGGATCAGTGAGCCAAGGCCAACGGTATGAGGTGCTGGTTGACAACATGTGTCCAATCTTAATGATTCTGTGATTTTGTGGAGGGCATCAGAGCTGGTGAAATATCTGGAGCAGAAGTCCTTTGAGCAGCAGTTGGGGGAACTCAGGTTGTTTAGCCTGGAGAAAAGGATCACTCTCTACAACTACCTGAAAGGAAGTTGTAAGAATATGGGGGTCAAACTCTTCTCCCAGGTAACGAGTGACAGGATGAGAGGAAACAAGTCGCACCAGAGGAGGTTTAGATTAGATTTTAGGGAAAATTTCTCTCAGAAAGGGCTGTCAAGCATTGGAACAGACTTCCCAGGAAAGTGATGGAGTCACCATCCCTGGATGTATTTAAAAGATGTGTAGATGTGTGACTTAGGGACATGGTTTAGTGGTGGACTTGGCAGTGCTGGGTTAATGGTTGGACTCGATGATCTTAGAAGTCTTTTTCGACCTAAATGATTCTATTCTTTTCTACTCCAAAAAGAAAATACAGCTATGCAACAGTGTTGCAAAGGGATTAATATCCAAACAGAGAGTGGCTATTTTACCATTCTTTTCTTGCTCTAAAAGATAGAAGGCAGTGATGAATGTCCTGCAAATGGAAGATGTCACACAAAGAGGTTAATACGTTATAACAAAGGTTTTTTTATTCAGCAATATCAGTCATGTCAGTAGTAATAATGACAATATTTTGGTATCTTCATTTGGCTTTGATAGCCTGCATTTCTGGTTATTTTTTAGAGTTAAAACATAATGTCAGTTAGAGTTGCCAAGTGTCATTATAAATAGAGCCATGATCATTTGCAAAAGCCACCTGATATGGAAGCTCCTGCAACTCACTCCAGAGTGTGTGGGTAACAAAAATTTTCAAGAATGAATTAAAAGAACTGAAGGTGAATTAGAACTTTTCATTAACAGACCTGCCAGGGCTATGTTACAGATATTCTTTTCTGTAACACCTATTTTCGGGTCTGTTATAGCTGAATTAATATCAACTTTGTGTAGAAAGAGGTAAATTTGAATTTAGAACAAAGCTTGCCCTCACAGTTATTATTCAAATGCGTAGTCCTAAACCTGACTTACAGAAGACCAATTTCACCCAATTCTGTTCAGTAAAGCCACAGCTGAGGACTCAAACCATCACAGACAGCATGCCACAGATGTCAAGGAAAATTAAAGAAAGAGGAAATAACCTGGAGTCATTAGTCAAGTCAAAGAGATGGTAAAACTTTCCCTGCTGAAAAACAGCTGTGGAAAGCAAGGGTGCAGTGACACTGCTGTAAGGATCTTTGTGCCCTTCTATACAAGTGGTGAAGGAACCAAATTTTGAGGGCCCTTGTGATCTAGAGGATGTTACTAGTCTCTGTTATATAGGGTAATAGGAAATCTGAGGAAAACCAAGCTTAGGTTCAACCCTGGGCCCTGGCTTGAGGTTCTCAGATAAGTTAAGCTGAGGTGAACTTAGTTCTTGTCTTTCTTGTTCTCACTACTTAGTTTCTGCAGGTAACAAAGACTAATAGAAAAAACTTGTGTTAGCAGTGTAGCTGCACAACCTTTTGCCCTTCTGATGGTCATTTTTAAGTTTCCCAAAGGTTGTGATCATGCCATTGAATGACTGACAATAATGTCTCCTAGAGAAGATGAGACTTGAATTTAAACATAAAAAGACAAAAAAATCATCTTGAACACTCAAATTTTTCAGTCCAATATGATACAAGCAATCATGTCTTTTGCCTTTCATATCTCAACAAATCATCTTTTCAAGCTGTATAAGTTTCCCCTTCAGAGCTCTCAACAGCCATGTTTCTATTGCTCGTGTTGAACTGCTGAGCACTTCCTCTATGGCACATGGGGATGAGTGAATGAATCCCACTAAAGCCTGGCTTATCTCTCAGCAGCAGATACACACACACACACACACACACACACACACACACACACAGGCTTTCTGTAATTTTATCCAGTAAGGACTCAATATTTTTGTCATAAAACATTTTTTTTTGCTTTGTAGGATCTTGATCATGGTCCCAAATGGAAAGCATGAGGTACACATGTTTTGGATAGATCTAGTCATCAGTATGTGACTGATGACCAGCTGAAAAGCCCCTGCAAGCGGCCCTGAAAAACAGAAGTGCACTGACTATTGGGTGTTACCACCTGCTGTA